TGTGGCGGGGGCTTCCCGGGTCCGGCGCTCGCCCGATCCACGCCCCCCACTGTCGCAGAGAGGAGGCGCCCGGGCCTCGCGGCTCCAGAGCCGACTCCCGCGCGCTCCGCGGACGCCCCGCCTCTCGGCGCAGGTGGGCGGGGCCGACGAGGACGGGGCTAGCTTCGGGGTCAGCTTGGCCAGCGGTGCCAGCGAGCAGCCTGCGGTTCCGGGCCTGGGACGCGCCAGGGGCCGGATCATGGACCGGGCGGAGGTGGCGAGGGTGGGCGCGGTGGGGAGCGCCAGCGTGTGAGCCGTGGTGGCAGGGGTGGAGCTGGCACAGACCAAGATGGTCTGGATGGCGGAGCTCTTGACAATTTCTGGATTTTACTGAAAAACACAAACACCCAAGCTCACCTAACGGTTGTGACCCTGCCGCAAGGACTCGCTACTCCTGCAGCCTCCTGTGTTCCGTGTAACTAGCGCGGGCTCCTCGTCTGTAACACGAAAACAAAAACAGCAGTTCTGCATTTTAAGGTGAAAATAATTCCTAGTCGGGACAAAGCTCACTGGGACACAGTAAGCGCTCAGTGTATGTTAGCTTTTCGTTCCTTTCGTACAACACAAACCTGTTCAAAGATTACGTTCTTCCTTCAGAGTCACATGCTTCCTCCAGGTTCCCAGGCTAAGACGTCACGACCTCTGCAAGCAAACCCTCCCTGCTCAGGTGGGCTAGGAATAAGGTGTGCGGAGCCCGGGGCGGGGCCCGGGTGGGCGGGGCGCGAGTGGGCGTGGCTCGGCTGGACGCCAGCAGAAGTTCCCCTGGCCTCCAGTGGGCGCGGGCACGCCTGTGCGTGCGCAGCACCCAGAACGCCAGACCATGATTTACACGCGCTCGGACTTAACAGCGCCAGACCACGCCCCGAGGTCTCCATCACCTCGGTGTCCTGGAGAACTCGCCCAGAAACACCTGCTTCCCTACAGAAGCGCACGAGCCCTCCCATCTGCGCAGAGCGGCCCTACGCCTGGCCCCGCGGGGCACACACAAAACTCGCGCAGGCTCTCCTAACACCGCCCAGTGGCCGGCGGGGTGCGGGCGGCTC